CTGCTAGTTAGGATATATAGGATATAGGTCCAGGTTCTTACACTCCTGCGGCTTCTCGAGCCTCTCAAGATCATAAATCATAAGTCATAAAATTATGGACTCACTCCTAAGTCAAGCCTCATGAGAAACGTAAGTTGTACATTTAAAATTTAAAACATAACTTTGACTCTGACTGATAGCCCTATGGTCCATGGTCCTATGGTCCTATGGTCCTATGGTGATATAGGTGCAAATACCAAACCCTAACTCAAACACTGCCATACACCATACTCTCAATCGACGACTTTGAACAAGCCCGCCTGTCATTGTACGCGTCTCGTGCCTGGCGAGCAGCTCGAACACCGCCATAGGCCTCCGACACGAGGCACTGTCGAAGTGCCTCTGTGGCACGAAGGAGCTTCTCATCCGAACGGAGGCTTGGACCAGGCCAGAGGCCGCGAACGGAGTCATGACGTGCATCCTGGCTTGAGAAGAGCGAACTGAGCCCATGTCGACGGACGGCTTGATGACCGACCATGATGCCAAATAGCTGTACAACTGTCTGGGCCGGGGTGCGACCCCAGAGCCAAGAGCTGCAGGGTCAGTCAGACTCGCAGCTTGCAATCGCACTTCACAAATCGCTGTCTTCACTAGTTCTCATGCACTGACATCAAAAAACTTGTAACTTTCGCAGCATGACATCATTACCACAAACTTTGCCACAAACCATCTCACCTACCTACCACCACAAATGGACATCGCTCCTTCAACCTGTGCAAGACATGACATGAGCAGAAGTGGGGTCCTGTCCATGGAGCAGGGAAGAACTTCATGAACTCGTCCACGGCCGTTGCGAAGCCCTGCGCTGGCTGCTCGTCTTCACCTTGCGGCAAGTTCAAGGCGACAAGCTTTAGCAAAGCTCTGACGGCAACGCGGGCACGAGCCCACTCCTCCTCCAATCCCTCTGGCTCCTCTTGCAAGATGACAAGCCTCGAGGGACCTGAGGCTAATACTGCCTGTACCTTCTGCCCAATCGTACGCATCCAGGATCCCTGCCTCATGGACTTGGCTATTGCGAAACAACCCGGCAGAATGCCTAGTAGCTTTGTAACACGCTCAATCACGTTTCCGTTGCGATGCTGTGCGCACAATGTACAAACGACAGCAACATCTGGAGGAAGCAGCGCGCACAAGTGCCTCAGCAGCTTCAGGTTAGCAGGGCCTGCATCGCATGTCACAAGTACAGCACGAAACTTTGCATTCACGGATGTCACACCCGGCCACAGGCCAGCAGGGCCTGCAGACAAGACCGGCCACATGGTAACAGCTTTCTTGGTTGGCAAAACACAAGGTGCACGAACAGCGTCCATATCAATAACTTCACCACGACCACAATATGTAATCTGACCATGGGATGCTAGCACTGACCAGGCTGCTTCTCCATGAACCCCCATATTTAGTTCAAGCTCTGTCTCGTCGAACATGAGGTTGATCAATGCGAAATCTAGGGGGGCACCTGTGCACAGATGCTGCAGCCGATGAAGACTCTGCGAACTATGCTGGCTCTGTCCCTCCTCGATGCACTCTGCGACGAACAACCTGGCAGCCAAAGTAGATGCAGCACTTGCACCGTCCACCTGACTGGCAGCATCGCGTGCACTCATACTACCCGGCGAGAAGCCTGCCCTTAAAATGGCATCTGGGGTCCATTTCTTCCAAGCACCTTTGCCTTTCACCTCGGAACGGCTAGCACGGCTGCTCACTGGCATGATATGATCTTCTGTTCTTCCTCTCCCAGACCTGTTAGCCGACTGAGCTTGCAAGCGAAAAGAGGCTTCAACTGTGCTTGTTCGTCGCTGCGCACCTTCTACCCGGCGCAAACGCCTGCGGCGGCCTACGTTCGGCGGGGCAACATGACCTTGTGGCCGCTGCTGTTGTTGCTGCACGAGCCTGGCTAAACGTTGCAGTTCCATTGCAGCAAAATCAAGACGTGCTAATCATGTTTGAGCCACACAATGCGACACGAGCCGTGAGACTCTGCAAGACTTCAAGAAATCTACTAAAAACCGCTGAATGAACAGTACAAGCAGTCATCATGACACCCAAAAAATGGCTCAAACAATTGCCGAAACAATTTAACCAATATTTCTGACACTAAAAACAATACTTCAAACAATTGTCGGAATATTTCAACAATATTTCAAACAATTGCCGAAACATTAAAAGAATGTTTGTAACAATGTTTTTGCAAACCGAAACTTTGTAACAATGTTTGTACGCGATTTCGGGGGTTAAGCCAAACCGGGGCTTCTAAAAACACTCAAGTTTAGGGTTTAGGGTTTGGGGTTGAGGGGTTTTGGGTTTAGGGTTTATAGGGTTTAGGGTTGAGGGTTTCAAGTTTTAGGGTTTGG